TTTTTTTTTCTGAGACAGGGTTTCTCTGTGTAGCTTTGCGCCTTTCCTGGATCTTGCTCAGTAGACCAGGCTGGCCTCGAACTCACAGAGATCCGCCTGGCTCTGCCTCCCGAGTGCTGGGATTAAAGGAGTGCGCCACCACCGCCTGGCGATGAAAATCTTAATGCTAAGTATTAATTTACTAATGTGTCAATACATGCCTATTCTGGGTTTGGTCATTACTGCTTCCCAAATAATTAAAACAACAGCAAAAACTCTTAGGTTCTCATTAATGACCTCACTCTTCTTCAGTCTGGCTCCCTTTATCCTTAAGTTAATGCTAAGATGGAGGTGCTTGTTATAGACAAGGAAACTCTTATGTGCAGCAAATTCAGAGTGAATGTCAGGCTGATTCAATGTCAAGGGACCTTTCTAGTCCTTTCTCCAGACCCTCCTCTGATAGTCTGTGGTATCCTCATAGTCACCCTTTCCTTAACGTTTTAAATCAAGTGTCACATTGATGCCTAGGCTTGTCCTCTGCGCCTGTTGCTTCAGAGCTGTCAGGCCTTTCTTCATCTGCTTCCTCACTTCTCAGTTTCCTCCAGTATTGACACTATGATCTGCCAGCGTTATTTAAGAAATACCTGTGATGTCTGTGTTACTGAGAAGGAATTAAGGTATAGACATGTTATTAGTCTGCCAGGGGACAGACACACAGGCTTCGTAAATACAGAAAATCAGTACAGATAATACTCATGGCATTTAGGAGGATGTGTAGTTATCTAGATGATGGGGGTCAACCCAGGCAGATAATAGTAATAGTGAACAAGAAAACATGGAAGATTTATGGGATGGTCAAGAAGATCTAGAAATTGGATGTTTCTAAAAGGAAGGGTGACAGAATTTGAATGATAGTCTTTTTTTTTTTTTTAAATGAGTTCAGGCTAGGCAGTTATTTCCATACATTTTTTGGTCTTGAATCTCACGTTTGTTCCTTACAGAACATGTGGGAACCAGTTAATAGTGACTTCAGCTGGGAATACTTTGCACTTTATTGTGCCTCCTCTAGGAAAAGCATTGTTCTACTGGTGAAGTAGAGGTGATACTACTTGGGTTGCTGTGTGACTAATCATGTGATAGATTTGTGTGTTTTTATCCCTTTTGTCGGTTTTTAAACTGGAAGCTATTAATTGCACAAAATAATGGGTTTCATTCCATTTCCATGCATGTGTATAATGTACGCTGGTCACACCCACCTTCCTTTTTCTGTTCTCCTCCCTCCCTCTCTATCCGTAATAGTCCCACTTCTCGCTCCCCCACCCCCACCTTTTTCTTGTTATTTTGAGGCAGGGTTTCATTCTGTCTCCCAGATATCTTCGGCCTTACTGTGTAGCTCAGGCTTGTGATCTTCCATTGTGGCCTCCCAGATGCTGGGGTTACAGCCTGTGCCAGCGTGTTTAGTACGACGTCACCCCTGTCACCTCCATGTTGCTTTTCCCATAAATTCCACGGAAGAGAGAAGAGCCGTGGTACTTGTCCTTGTGCTTCCGCCTTGGTTTGCTTGTGTGAACATTAGTTCCACCCATTTTCCTACAAATGGCATCATTTTGTTCCTTATGGCAGAATAAAACTACAGTGTGAGCATAGGCTGCATTTCTTCACCCATTTACACATTGGTAGGCACGTAGGCTGGTTATATGGTTTGGCTATTATGAAGAGGGCTGCAGTAATATGGAACGGTAACTCTACAGAGTACTGATTGACTCCTTTGGGTATATACCCAAGCCCTGGGTAGCTGGGGACTATGGTAGTTCTGTATTTAGTATTCTGAGTTCATAGTGATTGGACTCTTTTACACCTTTACCAACAGTGTATTGGAGCCTCCACCCCATCTTGACCAGCAGTTTTTACTTTTCCTTCATGGGATGAGATGGAATTTTAAGTCTCGTTTTCACGTGCATCTCCCCGATGGCTAAGGATGTTAAGCATTGTATTTATTGGAAGTTTATACTTCATTTGAACTGTCTGGTCAGCTTTCCCCCTCACTTCTCAGTTGGATCATTTGTAGTTTTGTTATTTAATGTTTTAATTTTGAGTTCTTCATATATTCTGAATCTTTATCTCCGATCATATTAATAACTGGTAAAGACACCTCTCCCTCCCCCCAAATTTGGTGTTTTGTATTTGTCAAGGCTCTCTAGAGGAAGAGTATTTATTACAAAGGGGGTTTATTAGATTGGCTTACATGATTTGAGTTGGGTAGTCCAGCAGTGGTCAAATGTACACTGGAGAGGTTGAGAACCTGGTGCTGACTCAGTCCACGAGGCTGGATGCCTCAGCAGTCATAATCTGGTGATGAAATCCTGGAGGATTCTTGGAAAGCCACTGGTCTTCAGTTCATGTTGGAAGGCTGAAGAAGCGGGGTTCTGATGGCAGTGAAGGATGGCTGCAGTAGCAGCAACAGGGTAGATGCATTCACAGGCAAGGAGAGAAGGCATGCAGGCAAAAGCAGCATTGTTTTCTCTTAGACCGATTCATGTCTGGCTGCTGCCAGAGGTGTCATCCACTTGGGGGAAGGTCTTCCAACATCAATTAACCTTTCTAGGAATTACCCATAGTGACCTGTCCAGATGTGTGTCTCTTAATTTATTCTAGACCCAGTGAAGTTGATGATCAAGATTAGTTATCAGAAGTTCACCCCTTTGTCAGCTTGATACCTAATTGTATCTCCTTATGTCATACTTAATTTCCAAATGAAAATAAAATAACGGCCATAATTCTACCTAACATGATATAACTATCCTACATTGAACTAAAAACACTGTTATTAACAAAATAGGACAGAAACCCTCACGGTAATTAGAATTTCATTTCTATAACTGATCATTTGGCCTTAACTGGTATTTATACTGCCTTTCTCTAATAACCATTCTGTATTTCCTTCACTCTCAGCTAGCAACTCAGCATGTCTTGCTTGGTTCTTTATCTGGAGAGGTGACTCATGCTCTCGTTTCTGTAAGTTATGGGCCATTTATCATCTTGCCTGGTTTGAGTTGTAGTTTCCCACTGACCTTTATCATAGGACATCGTACCACCAAGAGACACCATAATGGATCTCTTCTACTCTGGATATACCTTTTTACATTGTGAAAAAGCAGTCAAGTTTCCTGATAGCCTGGATGAATCATCCTTTCTAACACTAACTCATTTCTCAGCCTGTTGAGAAAGTGGCCAGGAGCCGTCTTAGCTTCCAGTTCAATGGAATAGCTGTGCCTCCAGCAGGAGCATTTCCCTCCCTAGAATCAAAACATTTGGCCAACAGAGCCTGAGGTCAAGCCAGACTTGGTAGTGGGTCACCAAGGATGATGGTACATCCCATTTCTACCCCTTAATTCCAGGACTCCAAAACCCAGACTGGAGGAGAAACAATGGTATATAATGGATACTGATGTTGCCTCCTGGAGAACCCTGCTCTAGGCCTCCCTTAGAAGGGGCGTCTCTACATAACCCACCCTGCTGGACTTGTAGAAATGTCACAGAGGTAGAGGGCCCTTGAAGTTTGGTTGGATTTGGTTTCCATCCTCGGAGGAGCATACTCTTTACCAACAGGTTCGGAGTGGTGGTTCTCTCCTGCTCCCTTGGCCCTGTCAGCATATGCCATCAATACGATTGGACTGTTTTGATACCATGTGGAAAAGACAAATGATCATAATCCCTGTGAACTAAGTTATGGCACAGAGCTGGATAATGAATAATAAATACCCTTGAGGTAGAAGAGTAAAAGAATTGTCTCTCATGATCCTTAAGGACAGGTATTGAGATCAAGCACCTGTAAGATTGATGGCTACTTCAGCAAGGATGATGTTGTGGCATCTGCCACCACAGCTGCTTTTGGAGTCACAACTTGAGTTTGTGATCATCCTCTCACCTGCCTCTGTGAGCTCCTGTCTTAACTGGAGGGCCACAATACTTTTGGGGGCTCCCAGAATCAGTGTCACTGTGGACTACTGTCTAATAGGCTCTGAAAGGTCTGATCGTTTCCTTTCCCCCAGTATAAAAGGCCATGGTTCCTTTAGGGAAGGATGGGAGTGAAACATGAAAAGAGACTAGCAAACCTTTCCACAGTTGCAGTGGGTCCTTCCTCAAGGGAACATGGCCTCCTTTTCATTCAAGGGGTCCTGGGTCTATAAACTAGCTGAAATCTGGGAATTGGTAAGGTGCCATGAATGTCTGTTGCTATGACTCAAGACAGCCATTCATCCATTCTACAGTTTTTCTGCTTACATAGCTCAAGCAGGAACTTAGGCGTCCTGTGAAGTCTGTTTGACTTCTGGGAACATGATGGTTAGTTACCCAGTGCCAAAGGTCTGCACAGGTCAGACCATTATGAACATTGCTTTTTCTATGTTGTCCTTTATAACAAGTGAGCTCACCTTGCTCTGGTGGTTTAGTACTGCCTCTTGACCCTTGCTGCTCTGGGTTCCACTTGACCCATGGTGTTGAGGTGTTCCAGTTGAGCAGCCATGACTCATAACTGTAAGGTGTGGCATACCGGGAGAAGCAGTGACAGCTCCTCAGATGTGCCGGTGCCCCTCTCACAAGCCTGTTCGTTGCAGTGTGAGTGAGGACATGTCCCCTCTGCCCCCATCTCCAGCCTTCCAGTATCCCTGAGCCTTGGGTTCATCCACACCAAGTCAAGGCGGATCAGACCGCTCCAGCTCATTCGCACCAGACCGTCTTTTGACTCACACTTCAGTCAACCAGCCAAATAAACTGTTGGCGCCTCTCCGGTTGTGTGAGCTAAAATATTAAACCCAGAACCTGTGCTCCTTGGGACCACACATTTTTAATGTGCTTCCTTACAGAACATATTTTCTGAAAAAAAATGTAGAAAATAGTTCTGACAAGTCGGGCCACATTCGAATGAGGTAACGGCGTCTGGATTTTCTCTTGTGATTGTATTCGGTCCTAAACATGATGAAAATGTTAACAATGCTGATGAACTTTCTTTGCTCCTCTAGATATTCCCGAAATTCCAGAAAGCATCTCCTTCTGTAAAGCGCTGCAGGTAGCTGACTTCAGTGGAAACCCCCTCACCAGGTAACCTCCTTCATACTTCACATTTCTAGTTATGATGCTCAGGGTAGCATGTCGGACAGCCGAGCAAAGGATATGGCCAAGTGCCGCATCCAGGAGGTGCCTAGGTGGGGCACTGTCTCCACCAAATAGGATGGACTTTTAGTGTGTTCATAAATAAACAATGGAAGAGGGCACACTGGTACTGATGGAATCATTGATAAGGAGGACAAGGGGATCCCTGAGGACTGTATGAAGCAGGAGTTAAAGAGTACATTTCTGAGCAGTGTGAAGAGCTGTAGCTTAAACAAAATTCTCAGTTGGGTCGACGAGATGGCTCAGCAGGTAAAGGCACTTGTCAGAAAATCTGACGGTTAGAATTCAGTGCCTGGGACCCACATAGCAGAAGAGAACTGACTCCTGTGGACCTCCACACATGCACCATGCCACACATATGTGCACTGTGGTGTGTGTGTGTGTGCGCCACTAAATAAACGTCAAAGTAAAATAAAAATAAATTCCCAATTCATCTCCTGGCTTACAGGATCAGACTGAGGCTAGAGAGATTCCCAGGAAGTCAGTTTCCTTTATGGACCTTGGGGCGCTACATAGTGCCTTTCTACTGAGTTATGCACCCAGCCAGAGAAGTCTTATTCAGCTTACTTTTTACACTCCAGTGCTGAAACATTTATAATACCCACTTTCTGTACAAAAGCACATACACACAAAAAAGTTTTGTTGACACCCCCCTCCAACCCCCAGACAGGGTTTCTCTGTGTAACTGTCCTGGAACTCGTTTTGTAGACCAGGCTGGCCTTGAACTCACGGAGACCCACCTGCCTCTGCCTCCCACATGCTGGGATTAAAGATGTGCACCACTACTGCCCAGCTATAAAAAAAACTTTTTAACACCATTATTTCCCTACTTTTGCAATAGCTTTGGGGGTTTCCTTAGGTTTATCATTCTGAGTCTGGCCACCTGCCCCATTTTACTACTTAATTCAGCTCCGTCCTTCCTGGTTCCACAGAACACTGTCTGGGTGTGGTGGAGGGGCATTATCATGGCTTTCCTGGTGGCCTAGCTCAGTTTGGAGTCCACTGACACCTGCCTCCAAGTGTCTGTGTTGCCAGGGTAAATGAATTAGTGCCCACATGGCAATTCAGAGACAATCCTTGGGTGTGTATTCTAGAGGTTTCCCTGGGCTGGTGAGTCCATTTGTAGGATTTCTCAAGGCTCTGTACATAGCTGTTCCCTTTGAATTTGAACTGGATTTATCCTATTCATTTCAAAATTGAGACTCCCTGAGTATGGAACAATTCCCTATTTAATTTTGTTTTACCCATATCTCATTTCCAAGAATTAAATATTTTTTATGGTGTTTCTGGTTCCTCTCTTTTGGATTTCAGTGACTGATACTCTTATCATTTATGACTGAAAAATAATAATCAAGAGTTATATAAAGGTATACTGTCCTCAAGCTGTATGTATCATCTTTCCTAGTTACCTTCACACAATTCTCTTCTCAGAACCTCATAAGTTCGTGCTCCCCGTGGCTTTAAGAGCCTGCTCAGGGCCTTTGTGCTGAGTCTCTACCCTGATTGCCCTTGGCTGCCTCTGTCGGTCTCTGTGCACTAAGGAAGCCCTTCTGTTCATTTCTCAGCTTCCCCTCCCCCACAGTTCTGATCTTTTCACCCTTCCCTCAGACTGCAGGGAGAGCACCCTGCGTCTTCAGAAAGCCTTTCCGCTTACTCCCTAATGCTCCCCCTCCCGTCCTTCACAGCACCCACTCTGTGCTGTGCTTTCATAACACTTGACATTCACCTATGAGCTGTCCCTCTGATGAAGACTCCCACACGGACGTGAGGAAGTGACATGCATTTCTCTCTTATTATCGTATCTCCAGTCCAGATGTAATTCTTGAAGGAAGTGCTCAGTACGTGGTCATTGAACTGAGCAAACTGAGCTTTAAGGCAGCTTCTATGGCCTGGCAAGCTGGGGAATGCTGTGTGGTGCAGGCGAGATCTAACCACTCAGTCACTTAAATCGCCTTCTGCTTTCCTGCTTTTCTCTTCCTAATGTCTGCTAACAGTTGACTCCACAAATTCTCTGAAGGCGCTCTCTGCGAGAATACACTCAGCTTATGTGAGCCTTTCATTCCTGTTTTTATCCTGGCCTCAAACGTGGCAGGATTCTTCGAGAAAAGCCATTTCATTTGGCAGGTGTCCTGATGTTAAGAATTAAGATGTTACCTGTGAGCTGAGGGAAACGTGGTAATTGCTTGGCTTGGCCCACTTAGTTTATGGCTGGGGAGAGAACCTCGGCTAGATGCACAGACTTCTCGACTGTGCAGCTAGCGCGAGAGCGTTGGAACCTCCTCACCCGGCTTCTGCTTCCTCACCATCCTGCGTCCGTACGTGCCACTCTTCCTGCTAGCAGCTGGAGAAAGGCAGAGAGCAGCCAGCAAAAGCATTTTACTTGCTTTAAGAACATTCCAGGTATTTTTAAGATTATAAAGGAATGTATATGTCTGGCAAAACTCAAGACAGATCAAGTGAATTCTGTCTTTTGAATTATAAGTAACTATCTTCAGCAAGCGATTCCCAATAACATAATAAAACATTCCTGTTGGTACCCTGTTCTTGGGTGCCTGGATTGGGCTTTGAATTATGAAATTAACCTGTATTAAATGTCAAAACATTAATACAGTATTTCTTTTTTTTTTTTTAATACAAACAAACCTAGCAAAGGAAAAGTATAGTGATCAAGAGCTCACTACTAAAGCCAGAGGTCTGCTCATGCTGGGGGGGGGGGGGGGGGAGAGAGAGAGAGAGAGAGAGAGAGAGAGATGGGGAGGGAGGGGGGAGAAAGAGCTACATCTGATTTTAGATGTGATGAGATTCTGTTATCTTTAGTCACGATTTTCCCTCTAAATATAGGTAACTGTAGGAATATTGAAACTAGAATTTCTTTGTAAATTTTAAATAATGATTTTGTATGGAATCCTTATGATTTTGTGGTGTTTGAGACATACTAAAATGCATTTGTGTAGACTACATAGTGAAAGATAACATTATCCGAAATGAGTGACATCTTGAATTAAAGAAGCAGTCCAGACAGGAGCAGTTGGCTGGCAGCCCGTCAGTGTGGAGTAATCCTCCTGTGCTCTGGGCATTCTGAGCTGCGGCGAGGAGGAGGCCTGAGCAGCTGTCCTGGGGCTTAAACGCCCGTGGGCCAGCTCAATTTTCTGTGCATTTTCTTCTAATCAGTGCAGTATTTTCACTCCCAGCAGGTTTTCATTTGTTTTTTTTCTTAGGATTTATTCTTTTTTTGTTTGAGACGTGGTCTCACCGTGGCAGCCTTGGCTGGCCTGGAACTCACAGAGACCTACCTGCCTCTGCCTGTGAACTCTGGGCTGAAAGGTGTGTGCTGTCACACCCAGCCAGATTCTCAGCAGTTTTGGCTCCCGTGGCAGCATCTCTCTTTCTCAGAGAACACCCAGCACTCCACAGCACCTTCCCTTTACTAGAGCACGCTCATCTGCCATTTTTATGATTGTGATTGTATCACTCCACCAGTAAGTATCCACGTGGCCTGTGCTTCCCTTTGGCGGACAAAGCCTTTTGCTTTTGCTTACAGGGGTAGTATATGTAGGAAGACAAGGCAGGTATTCCATAATATAAGGTATTGCAAGAAGCTGTTGCAGCCCCCACATGGAAGGAGTCTATATTTATTCTTGGCCTACACTGCTTTACTTTTTTTAATTAACAATTTTTGTTGTTGTTGTTGTAGGTTGCCAGAGAGCTTTCCTGAACTACAGAACTTAACATGTCTTTCTGTAAATGACATCTCACTGCAGTCTCTGCCAGAAAATATTGGCAAGTAAGTTTTTACAGAAGTCTGTGAGTGCCAGGGGTGAGAGGAAGCTTGTCAGCCACATCCTCTGCCGCTGCAGCTTTTAAACGGAGAGTACCATTCACCCATCCTTTGATATCACCTTCAAGAAAGATGAAAGTCAACCTTCCGTTTGTGTGTCCAGTTGCTCCTGTTTCATTACTTATTGTCCGTCTGTCCTCCCCTGTGTACACCTCTGCGTGTGTGAGGAGTCTAGAGGACCGTGCACGTCAGGTGGCCTCTTTGTCACTCTCTGCTCTATTCCTTTGAGATAGGGTCTCTCAGCGAGCCTGGGGCTGGGCTGGTGCCTAGCAATCCCCGGTGATTCCTGTCTCCACCCCTCACAGCACTGGGGTTACAGGCACACATTTGGCCACACTCAGCTTTTTGCGTCAGTTCTGGGATCCAGATTGTCATTCTTGCTTAGCACGTGTACACTTACCCACTGAGCCATTTATCCAGTGCCCAGTTGTTCCTAAATTTTAATGGTTATAAACTGTCCTGCTATTTTTTATTTGTAAGAAGTCTAATTTGTTTGAAGTTTTGTTTTAAAAGATTGTGTGTGTGTGTGTGTGTGTCTGTGTCTGTGTCTCTGTGTCTCTGTGTCTCTGTGTCTCTGTGTGTGTATGTGTATGTATGCATGCCATGTGTTTGTGAGTGTTCATGGAGGCCAAAAGATGGTGTCAGGCCCCCTGGAACCGCTTGATATGGGTGCTGGGAACTGAATTCTGGAAATTTAGGCCAACACTGGACAAATGATACCTCACGAAACTAAAAAGTTCCTGTCCAGCAAAGGAAACAACCAGCTGAGTGAAGATGAGGCTCACAGAGGGGGAGAGAAACTTTGCCAGCTCTGCAGCTGATACGTCAATATCCAGAATATACAAAGAACTCCAAAAGCAAAGAGTCAAGAAAATGACCCGGTTAAACAGAGGGCTGTGGGTCTGAACAGAGAGCTCCCAAGAGAAGAATTAAGAGTATCTTAGAAGCACCTTGTTCAGACTTGTTCAGTACAAATCCATCAGGGAAGACGGCAGGTTTATCGACGGAACCTTAACAAGGACCTTTCCATAGTTAGACGAAAATGTGAAAGTTGGTATGGTGACTTACCAGATGCACGTGCCTTTGCAGAGTGTCCTTTTTGTCTTCAGCCAGGCAGCCGGTGCAGTGTCTTGCCCGCTGTTTAGTCACCAAATGCAAAGCAAAGTGTTGGAGATGATCAAGTATCGCCTGTGCTGTATGTGCATGAAGATAATAAAGGGTCATCAGCCTAGTGCTCTCGGGAGTGGAGGAGGGGTGGTGTGGCAGCACACACTGCAGAGCTTCTTATTTCTAGTAAAAATATTTAAGCTGAGCATGGTGGTGCACACCTTTAATCCCAGAGGCGGAGGATCTGTATGAGCTCCAGGCCAGTTTAGTCTGCATAGTAAGTCTTAGGACATCCAGGGCTACAAATTAAGACCTGTCTTAGCCATTTGTGTGTGTGTGTCTTAGATATATAAAACCACATGCATGTATATCTACATAACCATATATATATATATACACACACATATGTATAATTTTCTTTTATCTCCTATAAAATTTTACGTATATTTTTAATATGAGCAACATATTGGTACATAACGTATCATATTTAAAATAGTACATGTGAGGATTATAAAGGTACATTGTAGGTGTGTGGAAAGCAGCCTTTTATTATAGACTGTTAGGGAGTCATCTAAGCTCTATAGCAGTGGTTCTCAAGCTTTGTTTTTCTGGGCTCCAGTGGGTTCTGTTGAAGTCTTCCCAGATCACTCTGGAAGTGAGAACCAATGCTTGGGTGGTCTCTGCTGATCTTTGTGTCAGTTAGCTCTACTTTTGAAAAGTCCCCCCACAGACATTTTTCTAGTTAAACTTGGGGGACTGCAGTTTCAGACCCCTTGTTAATGTTTATAGCTGCATGCAATGTGCAGATGTCACTGTGGTACAGATCCGTGTATAAACCAAGCAGAAAACTCAGAAGCCTTTCCTGCAAATGTACTTTAAAATCGGCCCGGTACCCTCTCTTTCGAAGCCCGCTGAAGTATGTTCTTCATGTAAAGGTTGAAAGCTTTCCTCTTTTGCCTCACCTTCTGTGGTGACGGGAAGAGGTGAAGAGATTCCAGATCTGCGGCTTCCCTGACCTGCTGCCTACTCCCCATACTGTGATTGCTTCAGTTCCACATCTATACAGAAAAGACTAGGTGTTGGATATTCACCTGTGTGTCTATAATCAGAGTGTGTACCTGCACCAGAACTCTAGTGACAGCAGGGATGGGTGGCACTTCTCTTTTCCTGCCAGGTAACACACACACAACAGAGCACACAGGATCCACTCCTTCCGCACAGCGAGGCATCCTCCTTTGTTCTGGACTAGGAGTTCCGGAGTCTCCGCCAGAAGTGTGTTGGCCTGTCCCTATGCGGTGCCCTGCACTCAGCTATAAAAAGCGGTTATGAAGAAGTAACTATGGAAAACATAGCTTCTATTGCCATAAAAATTTTCTAATGGAGAATAAGTATTGTCTATTAAAAGTTCTTAATTTTCCTGACACAAGGAGCTATGAAGGAGAAAGGGGGTTATTTTTAGGGGAGAATATCTGCCAAAGGAATGGGAAGCCTTTCTCGTTCTAGTCACAGTTCTGACATTGATCACATTTACTTCCCTGCCTTTGTTGCCAGAAAGCTTAAGCTAATTCCGATGTGTAGTGGGAGCAGCTGTGTGTACTTCTGTGCAATGAGAGGAAGTAGGGAATGGACTTCCGCGCGACGAGGGAAGGAGGGAGTGGGGTGAGGTGTTGCTGGCAGCCGCACCCTTGCTCCCAAGGCTGGCACCAACCACCCTGCGTGTCCTTAGCGCCTTCTGCAGAATGGTGATAAGTAAGCTGATGTTTGCATTGCTGTGCATGGTCGAGTTAGCTGGAGAATTCGAGTCTTTCTTGCAGATACTGCGGTTTTTAAGTTGCGCGCTTCTCACAGTAAGCACATTTTGTCTCTTCCTCCTTCCCAGGGTCTTAGTGTTTTAGGTCCCGAGCTGTTCTGTGAGTTTACACTTTACACCTGCTAGGATGATTATCAAAAAGATACATGGTAGCCAGTGTTCTCTTTACACCCGCTAGGATGGTATCGAAAAGGTACACGGTAACAAGTGTTATTGAAGATATAGAGAAGTTGAAACCTTTACCTGCTGCTGGTGGGAAAGTACAGCAGTGCAGTATTATTGCGACAGTGTGGGCCGGTTCTTTCTCAGAGTTGAACTCAGTTCCCGCGTAGCCCAGCTCTTTTAGGTGTATTAAAGAATTAAAGATATGTCCATACAAAAATGTGTTGGTGAGTTCATAGCAGTGTTCTTCATAATACCCCCAAAGTGGACTCAGACTTGGATCCATGAGAGAATGGATAAATAAGATATACACCCATCAATAAACTACTATAAAAGAAATGAAGTACTACTACATGCTGCAACATGAATGAACCTTGAAAAGATACTAAGTTAAAGAAGGAAAAAAAAAAAAAAGAAACTAGACCCCAAAGGTTACACAGCACTGACTCTGTTTATACAGAGGAACAAGTATGGTCAAGTCTGTAAGAAAAGAGTAGTTGTTAGAGGCTGAAGGGTAGGACACGTTTGAAGAATAAAGGATTGAATTTTAATGAATTCTTCTAGTTAGATGTACTCAAAAGAATTAAAAACATGTACGTACAAGAATGACTTTGGTTCTTTTTGAGAGGGTAAACATTTTCTGGAATTCGTAGTAATGTTTGCATAGCTTGTGAATAAATGTGCTAACAACAGGGAATTGTATACTTCAGAAAGAGAATTTAATAACTGATGGATTGCTCTAAGGTCACTAGTCCAATTACTTGCCCCTGGCCAGCACATGTGTCCAGTCTTTACGGTGCTCAGGTGATACAGAGTGGGGGTGAAGGTTGGAGGGACTGAGACCCCAGAGAACGGTCAGGGCATATGCCAAGGACTTGGGGAGCCTGTGGCCCAGCCCTGGCCAATGTGCTGCTTGGTCCTGGCCCTGTCTAACTCCTCCACGAAATGGTCATGTTACTCGCTGTGAAATAATGCTCTAAAGAAGAAGTTAGCGTAAGCGTACTCCTTGCGCCTTTAATTAAAATTTCTCCTCAAAGTGGAGCCTGCCTAGAATAGTAGAAATGTCTGTGATGAGCTAATGTAGTTCCCAGCACAGCCATTGGTCATTGAATAGTTCCTATCAGTAAACATGTAATTATGATAATTTGGTGGTAGAAATAGACAGAGTTGGCAGGCCTTAGGTTCTCTGGCAGACTGAGCTAGAACATGTGAGTCTGATTTTGTATGTGCTGTCCTTGGAGCCAGTGACCTTGACTTCAGTGGACTTGAACTAAGTAAGCCCTGCGGCCGAGGCTGACAAAGCCTAGCGCTAGGCTGCTTAGCTGTGATGTGAAGAAGAGAAAAACCTTTGAGAAAACTGTTGCCATATTAAATACTCTTTTTTTGAAGTCTGGGGAATGGCTATACAATATTGTTTGAAAAGCAAAAATAATTTTTTTTTAAAGTTTGGGGTTGGGGAGTATACTTTACTGGTAAAGTACTTTCACCAGCAAAATTGTATTTTTTTCACTCATTGTTACTGTAAATGTTTATAGTTTTTTTTTTTTATAATTTTGCAGCGTATTGTCATTTGTTTGGTTTAAGTATCTTTCATTCTATTTTCTGGATGATTTGGTAATGAAAATCAAAGTGGTTTAAAGAGAGTATTATTTAAAACAGTTAAAAAAATGTGAATTTCTCAAAATAGCCACTCATTCACTCCCTTGAAATAGATTCCTAAATATACAGTTGGCCTCCGTTCTGTCTTAGAGTGTAACTTCTGCCCCGCTGTTCTGAACTGTATGAAACATGCAGGAGGCATGACTTCCTACGCTTCCCGCAGGCTCCTTAGCTTTCTCCCTCTGCTGCTGCTGCAAGGCAGGCGGGG